GCCATGGGACATGATGAGCACACACCCGCCATGGGGCATGATGAGCCCACACCCGGCCATGGGACATGATGAGCCAACACCCGACCATGGGACATGATGAGTCGACACCCGGCCATGGGACATGATGAGCACACACCCAGCCATGGGGCATGATGTGCCGACACCCAGCCACGGGACATGATGAGCCAACACCCGGCCACGGGACATGATGAGCCCACACCCGGCCACGGGGCATGATGAGATGACACCCGGCCATGGGGCATGATGAGATGACACCCGGCCATGGGACATGATGAGATGACACCCGGCCATGGGACATGATGAGATGACACCTGGCCATGGGACATGATGTGATAAAAAAGTCGCCGTTCTCTGCCGGGCAGCGGAATCTGGAAGAGAGAAGAATTATCCGTGTGTGAGAGAGACTTCCGGCATCACAAATCTCACCCCCGACCAGGACGGATACACAGAGCGATCTATTGATAGGTTATTGGTGACGGAAGGATCAATAGATAAGTTCTCACCATCTGTAGGCTCCGCCCTCTCCTCCTCTGCTGCTGCTTCCGATTCTTCTCCATCAAACGTGTCATCTTCACCCTCACCCTGAGCACCTGATACCAGGACAAAGGTTCAATGCCGAGCAATACAACCACCGGCGGAATATTGGGGTTCATAAGGACACCTTCTATGACAAGTGCAATATTGGGGTTCATAAGGACACCTTCTATGACGGGTGGAATATTGGGGTTCATAAGGACACCTTCTATGACAAGTGCAATATTGGGGTTCATAAGGACACCTTATATGACGGGTGGAATATTGGGGTTCATAAGGACACCTATGATGGGTACAATATTGGGGTTCATAAGGACACCTTCTATGATGGGCGGAATATTGGGGTTCATAAGGACACCTTCTATGACGGGTGGAATATTGGGGTTCATAAGGACACCTTATATGACGGGTGGAATATTGGGGTTCATAAGGACACCTATGATGGGTACAATATTGGGGTTCATAAGGACACCTTCTATGATGGGCGGAATATTGGGGTTCATAAGGACACCTTCTATGACGGGTGGAATATTGGGGTTCATAAGGACACCTTATATGACGGGTGGAATATTGGGGTTCATAAGGACACCTATGATGGGTACAATATTGGGGTTCATAAGGACACCTTCTATGATGGGTGGAATATTGGGGTTCATAAGGACACCTTCTATGACGGGTGGAATATTGGGGTTCATAAGGACACCTATGATGGGTACAATATTGGGGTTCATAAGGACACCTTCTATGATGGGTACAATATTGGGGTTCATAAGGACACCCCAGGTTCTGCAATTATCTATGGCTTACAGTACTTCTATGACGGGAGGAATTTGGGTTGGAAATGACCATTGGCATGAGAGGGGTCACATGACCTGTGAATGCGCCTCCCGATCTCCCCAGACTCCCCAATAGCATAAACATGGCCTAATCAGTGATACCGCACCCCACATGTGTACCCCCTTATATATATCCCCCATCCCACCACATGGACATATAAGGGAAGTGACCCCTCCCCCTTGTGTCCCGGAAGGAGACAGCAGTGTACACAGTGATGTGTTACATGTCCTCTCCTCACACCTGCAGATACCTGAGCAGAAGTCAATGGTCCTCAGCATCTCAGACACATAGTCCACATTGACGCAGAACTGGTCCATGTTCTCATAGCCGGGGTCCGGCCGGTCTATTGTGGAGACTTTGGACATGTCTGTGATCCTACAAACAGGAGAAAGGACATACATGGAGAAAAGAGCAAGATGGAGGACAGTGGAGAGGACAATGGCACACATTATGTAAATTAGGTGTAGTCTACATGGACTTAAGAAGGGGTGCAAGCTCAACCCAACCCAACTCATTGCATTACAGCTCAGCCAAACTCACTGCAACCCAAACCAAATCAACTCATGGCAACCCAACTCATGGCAACCCAACTCATGGCAACCCAACTCATGGCAACCCAACTCATGGCAACCCAACTCATGGCAACCCAACTCATGGCAACCCAACTCAGTTCATCTCAACCCAACCCAGCTCAACCCAACCCAGCTTATTTCAACCCAACCCAACTCCTTGCAACCCAATGCAATGCAGCTCAACCCAACTTATTGCAATCCAACCCAACCCAAATCATTGCATTCCAGCTCAACCCAGCTCATGGCAACCCAACCCAACTAATTACAACCCAACCCAACTTAACTCATTCCAACTCATTGCAACCCAGCTCAACCTAAAGCTGCCCACACACCTTACAACTAGAGCTGCAGCTAACGATTATTTTCAAAATCGATTAGTTAGCCGATTATTAAGTTCGATTAATCGGTTAATCGGATAACGACTTTTGTTGTGTGAGGGTTGTAAGGTAATTAAAATCTCATACGATCTGCTCTTCTTGTACTTGCGATCATCGTGAACCCTTTTTGCTGAGGGGCGGGGCTTCTGATGAGTCCAATGCTTAGTGGGCAGTGTGCACCGGCCCGTGCAGCATTCGTCTTCCGAGCATGCCACTAACCCGCTGAAAATCTTACGATTTTCGGCAGGTTTTCAGGCGTGCTGGGGAGACAGAAGACGTGCGACCGTACAGTAGAAACGGTCGCACGCCTTTCATACACCTGCCGATTATCGTACGATCACGGGATCACCCACAACTATCGTACGATGATCGGCAGGTGTATGGCACCTTAACCCAACTCAACCAAAATCAACCCAACCCAACTCAACCCAACCCAACTCAACTCAACCCAACCCAACACAACTCAACCCAACCCAACTCAACTCAACCCAACTCAACCCAAACCAACTCAACTCAACCCAACTCAACCCAACCCAACTCAACCCAAACCAACTCAACCCAAACCAACTCAACCCAACCCAACCCAACTCAACCAAACTCAACTCAACCCAACCCAACCCAACTCAACCCAACTCAACCCAACTCAACCCAACTCAACCCAACTCAACCCAACCCAACTCAAATCAACTCAAATCAACTCTGTGCAAATTCCTCCCCCCGCAATGCCCCCTAAGCTTGGTCAGGAACCATTTATATGTGGTTATGACCTAGGGCAGTCTGCATAATATTTTCCCTGCCAGCCCCTCGCGGCAGCCATGATCTGCCTGCATTGCACAGAGACCCAGTGATGACATCACGGGGACTTATTACGATGTCATGAACATGCAAACATTTTATTTATGTCATCAGCATGTTGAAGGGAAAATACAAACAGAATAAAATTCATCTCTAATTATTGTAAATACCCCGACAGTCCTATGTCCGTGTGTGTGTCCGTGTGTGTGTCCGAGTGTGTGCGTGTGTCCCTGTGTGTCCGTGTGTGCGTGTGTCCCTGTGTGTCCGTGTGTGCGTGTGTCCCCGTGTGGGTTCTCTGGGTACATGTTGCTCATACTTACTTTTTGATCAGTTCTTTGGCTTGCTGTGGGAGGAAAACAAAACAAGTGAGACAATCAGCTCAACAAAACACTTTCTACAATCTGTGACCCCAAAACCATCGGAAGATGCCGAGCTACAGACAGCTAGACCCACCCCCTTCCAGTCCTCTCTACCTACTTACAGGGATGGTGGGGGCCCCTCATAATGGGCACAGGAGGTGTACAGACCCGGGAACTCAGCACAGGGATGGTGGGGGGCCCTCATAATGGGCACAGCGGGTGTACAGACCCGGGAACTCAGCACAGGGATGGTGGGAGTACAAAGGCTCCCAGCAGTGGGAGAGAGGGGACTGTAATACCCCATTACCCCCCTCACCAGTGCTGCAAACTAATGTGGATTTCCAGCATAGATGCCCCTCGGAGGGGCACATCCCACCAACTACACCCATAGGTGTCACCAGTACTCTCTCAAACTTCTGGGAGAACCACGTCCACCAAATAACACCCTTGGGTACAAACAAGAACCCTCTTAGACGCCCCAGGAGGGAGCACCTCCCCCCTCATAACCTCAGGCAGAGCACACCCCCTGAACGTTCCCTATTCATAGAGGAGTTACGAGATCTTCACCTGCAGAAAAGCGGCCATCTGTGGCTCATCCATGGACTGTATGGCCGTCTCCACAAGCTTGGACGTGACTTCGAGGTTGTCACCCTGACCGCGGATCAGTCCTCGCACGTACAGGAGCTTCTCCTCCTGCTGCCGGGCGATCATCTGTAATAGTTCCTTCTTCCTCTCCTCCAGGATGTTATAGAGAGAGTCAAATCTCTGGCTCAGGTGCGTCTTCTGCCTGCGGCTGTTGTCCTGGAGAAGAGAAGGGGGGTGACGTGTAACATTCCCCCCACTGACCCCCAATGTAAGGAGCGTTCCCCC